AACTTGATTAGAAAGTAGAAACCCTACAGTATATAGTTTAAGTTGAGTAGCTGGGAAGACAATTAGTAAGCTATCAATACTAAAGTTGAATAGTGGGGAGGCAAATTACTTAAGTTCCAAGGACAGATAAATAGGATGAATTTCTCATAAGAGAATGACATGATTTGAATTCCCACTATAAGTGTATTGCAAGTACCCTTATGCTCGGGAAAGACAGTTAACAAAGAGAGGTTACGTTGGAAGCAAAACATAAACTTTCTAGTTGTTGAGTTTGCAAAGAAGGATGCCCTAGAAATTTTGAAATTATGTGGCCTACTTCCATTAGTTTATACTTTATAGTTATTAATTTGCTAGTTTCAACATATCTAAAGCAGATATTGAAAAAATGGAAATTTCACACTAAATCAATCTGAGAGTTCAATTATTTCTTCTTCTTTTTTTTTTGTGCGAATGTCTACCTTGGACTCATTCTCTTGAGTGCTACATGTGTATTTTAACGAGTCTTTAAGATGTGTACAGAAAACGGAAGCATTATTGAAAAACACGTATGTATAATACAAGTATTAAACGGGAAATTGTTAAATTCTTTATACGGGTAATAACTCTGGAAATGTAAAAAAATCAAAAGGGGACTATAGAGACTCGAGTAATGGCCTAATAGTAATGGATAATGCTCTAAAGGAAAATATGGGAAATTTTTTTTTTTTTTTAAATAAAAAAGGGACCCCAATATAGCCGAACGGCTATACTCTTTAAATATATTACATTTAATCGTCTAGCCGCACGGCCATACTATTTATTTAAAAATTTTTAAAAAATACCACAGTATAGCCATGTGGCCATACGATTTATTAAATTAAATGAAATATATAAAAAAAGGACCTGCCTAATAGCACCTAGTCAGCCGATTTTTTAAATTTATTTTTTAGCCGCCATAGCCGCAGCACGGTTATACTTCATGCGGAGGTTGTGGCTGCTTGCTTTCTAAGGTAAGGTACGAACTAGTGCTGGTAAGTGAACGAACCTGTGAATTCTCGCTAAGACGTGTACAAAAAAGGGAAGTATTATTGAAAAATACATACGTATGTGTATAATATGAATATTAAACGGGAAAATGCTAAATTCTTTATACAAGTATTAAACAGGAAAATGCTAAATTCTTTGTTTGGCCTGGGTGATCATTATAGTTTATAATCGTCATAAACTACCATTTTCTTGTAGGATAAACTACCATTTGCAAACCAGTGATCTATAACAAATATCCAAAAGCAATTCATGCACAAGCACCAATTGATCATCATATAAATTCCCAAAGAAGAAAAGGCTTGTAACTCACAGGTTAAGTAGCTTAGATGGTGCGGGACGTAATACAGTTAATGCCTCTTTTCACTGCCACTGGCATTCAGATAACAAAAGAAGATGCTGCAAAATTGACAACTTCCATTCCCACTCTTCAAATGTTTAGAAATTGACGCTCTCCACTCCAATGCTTGTCTTCCACCCCTACTTACGCCATCACTTAGAGCATGATCTAGTTCAGTTATAAACTTATAGTTGAAGGAAGACAGTGATGTAATATATCTAGTAGTTTCCCCGTGAAAGATACATCTAATTTGTTTCCCTCTTCACGTATTAGATCAGTTTGCTCTGAAGCACATGTGTAATGTGATTCAGAATAGCTCCATGGTGAGGCACAACGAGCCAAATTGAGAGAAAGATCATCCATATGTAAAAGCGAACTTATGACATTCGCCATCATGATCTGCATCATTACAGAAGCATTATAAAATAATTACAATGAAGAACAGGAAAAAAGATGCAGCAAACTATGGTGACATCACAAACAAATTGAGAGCATTTAGATTTCAAAGGAAAACATGAAACTTCAAAGTAAAATTGAACAAAATACCAAAAAGTAATCCATTTAGCAATTGCTATTTCTCTAGCATCAGAACATGAATGATAAATAATTTGTTTTGCATGCATTTTTTGGTGACTATATTTTACACAAAACAACTTTCAAAGACAACAAACAACAGATTTGCCCGAGGAAACATGTTAGACCTGTAATTGCAAGTTGAACTTATCTGGCATAAACATGAGAAAATAACAGTTTTAACAACCACAAAAAGGAGGTACGATTGAAAATGTTAGGCTAAAAGAAAACCATATTCAGAATAGACTACCTTGTGAGGGATGTCATTGACAGCCTCCAAATGGTTCTGTAGATCTTTCAAATGGTCAAATGCAACTTGATGAAAACTTTTTCTATCACTAGTCATAGTGTCCCTTGCACACACACACACACACACACACACAACAAAAAAGACTCCCACAAACTTGCGAGTTACAACACAATATGACAGTATTATTAAATTAACGTATCAAAACTAACAGAAATATTATAATAGCTTCTCTTGGGGCGTGTTTGTTAAAGCATTTCAAAGACTACTTTAGTGTAACTCATGTTGATTAGACAGAGTTTTGGGCTGAATGTAATCTAATTTCATATGTCATGTCATGATTGTTGGTCTGATTTTGATGGTTTTCTACAAGATATCTTTGAAGACGAAAAGAACAAAGAAATAGTTTTCCTTTCTCTGTTTACTTTCTAGCCCATCTTTCTTGTAGGTTTTCTTTCTCTGTTTTGAATAAGATACAGTTTTCCTTGTCAAAACAACAAAGAAATAGACCAGAACAAGATTATTTTGAGGATTTTGAGGACTTACCCGAAGCGGACTTTGATTTCCAGTATGAAATTCTCAACAAAATTAAGGGTCTAACAGGTGATCTTGCATGCTATTTGTTTTTTAGCAGACAACATCAACGATAATTTTCAATTGCATGCTTGACCATAATTGACGCAGGCAACAGAAGAGGAAAGATCAAGCCGATAACACAAAGAACCACAATGAAATTTTCTGAAAAATCGGGCTAGGCGGCGCCTAGGCGCTAGGCGGCCTGGGCGGCTGTGTGCAATATCAAATTAGTTTCTTTAGGTTATTTTATTTTATTTCTTGTAATTAAACAATATCTTTGCTTTCTTTTAATTACTTTTATTAGTATTTATGTTTTAATTATTATTTTCTCTAGTGAACAATTAGTATTAAATATGTTAAATAAATTCATAAATTATATTACTTAAAAAATATAAATTATTACGTTGTAGTATTTTGCGGACTTTAATTTTCATAGGGAGAAATTTTTATTTATTTTGGAATAGCTAATTAATTAATATTTTTAATTGAATAATATCTTAGTCTTATTTAATTAATATAATTACTAATAAGCTTTTAGTTATTATTTGTTTCATAAATTACTTATCAAATCGTAATTAATTTTTATGAATTATTTTGTGCTCTTAAAAACCAAGAAAGTGGTTGCAACACAAAAGAACCAATACATACATATAGTATACTTGATTTGCTTATGAACTTAGTTCTTGATTGACTGGTTTGTAGTGGTTACATGTCCTCAGGATACGAAATTGATGGGTTCTACTCACTAAAATCTGATGTCTATAGTTTTGGTGGGTTGATGCTAGAGATAGTGAGTGGGAAGAGAAACATAGGATTTACTCATTGCTTTTTTTTGTTTCTTCTTTTAAGTAAGCACAATGATTTTGCACTTTTGATAAATTCTTTTAGGCATGGATGCTATACACAAAAGGCTGGTCCATTGAAGTGCTTGATACATCAATAGGGGACTTAGGTGATCCACATGAAATTGTGAGATTATTTCATGCATGTAGGTCTTTTATGTGTGCAGTGTAACCCGGGAGATAGGCCGAGCATGCTAGTTACAGTGAAAGGATCTCAATGAACTCGAAGTCGGTCATTCTTTTAAAGCATTTTCAACAAATGAACGCAAGTGCTTCAAATTTGGGGCAAAGATTCATGAAGTTCCAAATTGCGTGAGGAAGGATCTCCTAAAATGCCACTGCAATGTGCACGTGTTATAAGGTATGCAATTACAGTCGCTTCAATCATATGCACTTAGCCAATTAGTGATAGGGGAAACCAGTCTAGAAATTTCAGATTCTTTAGAGAGCATGTGTTTTTTGTCATTTTTGACCATTGTGTGATATTTATTATGTGTAGTTTGTGGGAGCAAATATTTCCGTCTCCAATCACGGCACGCCACGTGGAAAATAAGATTATCTCTTAAATTAATTAATTGAACCAGTTTATCTGGCCAATTAATTAATTGGAATAAATATCTTAATTAATAGGATATTATCTTTATTTAATAAGATAATATCATTAATTAAGATATTATCCTAATAAAGAGAATATAATATCATTAATTCAGATATTATCTTCAATAAAAAGAAGATAAATATCATTAAATAAGATATTATCTTCAATAAAGAGATATAATCAAGTCCGACTCGATCCCTACGAATTTGGATAGAGAATAAACTCATCATATTCTCTACGAAACCCTAGCCCCGAGGCTCCTATAAATGGATGACTTCATTCATCATTCAAGGTACATCTAAACCTACTCCTAATACCCGAGAAAAATACCTGAAGCTCTCTCTCCCTCTCCACTCTCCATATTTTCTCCACACGGCTTCGGCCACCACACACGGCTCCGGCCGCCCGGTTCACACCATACATAAACTCCGTACCATTTGTTTAGCTATTGTTTTCCTACAAACACTCGAACTAACTTAGGCATCGGAGGGCCTTTGGCCAACACCCCTCGGGTGTGGTATATTTACTCCAATCTTTTTTACAAGAATCGAGGAAGAGAGATAAGGAAGATCGAAGGTTGAAGGATCTAGAAGCGAATATTCTCCCGTAAGATTATTTGTACAAACATTTGGTGCTTTCATTGAGAGTTCAAGTTATACTCAATGCGTGCTCAAGGAATCCGTTCCTCCTATTTTCCAATCCATCGAAGCCTTCCAAACAATCATGGTTGGAAGCAAACACCTTAGGAGCAAAACCGCCGCGACGGCCTAAAGCCACTCCATCCACGATCCTGCGATTGACATGGTGGCACCACCACCTCTCACCACCAAGCCACCTACCGGACCTGCGGCCGGATCTAGCAACCTTCGTGGCACCACCATCGAGCATGGTGGAACCTCCCATCAAGGTGGGCTCGTTACCACCACTGACTTAGGCCCGGTCTTGGAGCAACTTCAAGCATTCCCTCCATTGCCTCCACGCTCGATGTACGCTCTTGCATACACCTCCAATGAAACCCTAGCCTGTGTGCTATTGGGCTCCACACACTTCTCTCCTCCCGATCCACAAAGCCAAGCAGATCTTAATTTGAGAGTTGACTAGTTAGCTCCGAGGATGGACGACCAAACCAATCTGATGAGGCAACTCCTCAACTAAATAAACTTGGTTCAAAATCTTGGCCTTGGACAACCGAGCGAAGAGAGAAGGAGGGACGAACGCACCGATAGGCAGGTCGATGGGTACCAAGCAGGTCGAACATGAGTAAGCACACAAGGAAATGGACAACAACGTGATCAACTTGCTAGCATGTCACAAGCATTTGCAAGCCACACACAAAGCAACGTGCGAGAAAGGCTCGACCCATGACTTGACATCTGCACTCGCCTGGGCCCGCAGGGAAATGTTCATGAAAGGCTAGACTCCTTGGGAGGTCAAACTGACAATCGCCACAATGAGGATCGTGAAGAGAGGCGCTCCGCTGCCCGCTCACAGAGAAATATTCACGAAGGGTTAGGCCCCTAGGGAGGTCAACCTGGTAACCCTCACAATGAGGACCATGAAGAAAGACACTCCACTGCCCGCTCTCGGAGAACCAATTCTCGTCGCCAAGCTACAGAAAATCCCTCGCAAGCGCAGTCCACCAACACGCCGCCTAGGTAGCGCAACCGAGAAGGTCGACCCTTACGAACCAATGAGGAAGTCAATCAGCATCGCCCAAAGCGTGAAGGCCATCAACATGATCAACCAGCCATATGTGCAAAAGGCGTTGAGAAGCTTGTGAATAATTGACTGCGAGACTTAAAGATTGGAGGAAATTTTGGAGATGCACTACGCATGGAGGTAGATCAAGCAAACTCCTCACCTTTCACCGCCGAAATCGAGCAGGCTACTCCCCCAAAACGATTCTCAACGCCCTCTTTCATATACTTCAAAGGGGATTCCAATCCCAAAAGTCATCTGAAGCATTTCAAGAGCCTTATGATCCTCTACAAAGCCGAAGACACGCTTATGTGCAAGGTGTTTGCAATGACTTTACAAGGAGCAGCTCAGGACTGATTCCACACCCTGCTATCCGGGTCGATCAGCAGCTTCAAGGAGCTTGCTTATGTCTTCACTAAAGAATACACTTCTTATTGGACGATCAAGAAGAACCCTGAACATCTGTTCAACCTGCACAAAAAGTCCGATGAATCCCTCCGAGACTACATCAAGAGGTTCAAAGCGAGAGGGCAAACATTATAGGATGTGATGACCAAATTGAGTCCTTTGCCTTTAAGAGGAGGTTGCCAACTGAATGTGAGCTGTATCGCGAGCTGACCATCTCTCCTCACCAAACATTGGTAGAAGTCTTCGCTACAGCAGAGCGCTACACACTATAGGACGATGACTGGATTGTGGCGAAGGAGGCTGATCAAGCAGCTGAGCAGGCAAGCAAAGAGAACGGCAAGCGCAGATCACAACCTCAGGAATGTGCTCCAGTAAAGAAAAGCTACACTAAGTTCACTATCTCGATACACCAGATCCTAACCCAAGTAAAGGACATGCCTTGGTTGAAGAAACCATCACCTTTAAAGGGAAACCCAACCAAGAAGGATACTAGTAGATATTGCACATTCCATGAAGGGCACGGTCATTACACAAATGACTGCTTCGCCTGGAAAAGACACCTCGAAGATCTAGTCAGAGACGGCCATTGCACGGAATTCATCGCAAGGGGGGGCTATCCAGCAAATCAAAGATTGTGACGCCGCTAACAATGAGCCTTCACGAAAAAAGTCATATGGATCAACACGATCCTAACTGACTCCAAGAGCCTGAGCCGACCACCAGGGGGCAGAAGAGAAAGATCAAGCAGGCGAATTTTGTCTCGCAAGCCGTCACTAGCTACCAAGTTATGGAAGACAAACCTTTCATCATCTTTCAATGGAAGAAAGTTCCAGTGCAATGGAATGCCCTTCACTTCCAGAGGTAGCATCCATGAAGCTCCACACCTATCAACTCGGCTCTAAGCAGGTAGCCAAGCCTCCATCACCTCAATTGAAGACAAGTTACTTTTGATGTTACTCATGCAACTCATCTTTTTTACTTAATAGAGAAATGTAGTAACACAGACATCAATACAAGTTCAAGCTTTTCTTTCCAATTGAGTGTTCACAAAAGCAATTGACACGTCTCCGGGCGTAGGCCAAACATGTCACACTCATCGACACATCTCCAGACGTAGGCCAAACAGGCCACTGTCATCGACACGTCTCCGGACGTAGGCCAAACGGGCCACATACATCGACATGTCTCCGAACGTAGGCCAAACGGGCCACTATCATTGACACACCTCCGGACGTAGGCCAAACAGGCCACACACATCAACATGTCTCCGAACGTAGGCTAAACGGGCTACTCTAATCGACACGTCTCCGGATGTAGACCAAACGGGTCACACACATCAACACGTCTCCGAACGTAGGCCAAACGGGCCACTATCATCGACACGTCTCCGGACGTATGCCAAACATGCCACACACATCGACACGTCTCCGAACGTAGGCCAAATGAGCCACTATCATCGACACATCTCCGAACGTAGGCCAAACGGGCCACACAAATCGACACGTCTCCGAACGTAGGCTAAACGGATCACTCTTATCGACATGTCTCCGAACGTATGCCAAACAGGCCACTATCATCGACACGTCTTCGGACGTAAGCCAAACATGCCACACACACATCGACACGTCTCCGGATGTAGGTCAAACGGGCCACTCTCATCGACATGTCTCCGAACGTAGGCCAAACGGGTCACTCTCATTGACACGTCCCCGGACGTAGGTCAAACGGGCCACTCTCATCGACATGTCTCCGAACGTAGGCCAAACGGGCCACTATCATCGACACGTCTCCGGACGTAGGCCAAACATGCCACACACACATCGACACGTCTCCGGAGGTAGGTCAAACGGGCCACTCTCATCGACATGTCTCCGAACGTAGGCCAAACGGGCCACACAAATCGACACGTCTCCGAACGTAGGCTAAACGGATCACTCTTATCGACATGTCTCCGAACGTATGCCAAACAGGCCACTATCATCGACACGTCTCCGGACGTAGGCCAAACATGCCACACACACATCGACACGTCTCCGGATGTAGGTCAAACGGGCCACTCTCATCGACATGTCTCCGAACGTAGGCCAAACGGGTCACTCTCATCGACACGTCCCCGGACGTAGGTCAAACGGGCCACTCTCATTTACACGTCTCCAGACGTAGGCTAAACATGCCACAACCCAGAAACACTCAAGTAGTTCACAAGACATTATGAGAATTGAAGCTAAGCACAAGTGGATGGACTTCACAAAAAGTTCGTCTTTAGTAGATTAGACACACATGCATCCTTTGCAGGGCCGGACTTGTCCACCTTAGCATTAGTTGCTGACGTTGTAGAAGAGCACTTCGCCCCGGCAGATGACTCTTTCCTCTTCTTAGCCGCTGCCATCCTCACCTCCAATGAAGTCAATGACGACGAATCACCTCCAAGCTTGAGTGCTCGTGACTTAACAGTTGGATCATGATGGTTGGGCGGATGAGCAGATCCCCAAGTTCGATCTTCATCCTCTCACTAGTACAGACAACTCGAACCACGGAGAGGAATATCAGCATCTCTTTGCCTCTCAACAAGTGAGCTAGACCGCGCACGGACTACTTTAAGGAGCATATCACGATCTCCAAACACATCCAGCTTGAGTTCTAGAAGACTTGACATCAGCCTTCCTCTTTTAGGGGAGTTCAGCAGAACATTCATCTTGTCCAGCATGCAAATCATCAGGATCCGGACCATTCTGCTTTAATCCGTCGACATTCTCAGTAAGGGGCAGACCACCGTCTTTCTCTCGATACTCGCTCAGTAGCAACCAACGCCACTATTGCTCCAACCTTCTTCGACCGCCAGTCACGACGTCACCCAGCTGGTCCTTGCCTCGAAAAAGAGAATAGGAAGAAAAATATACGTGCTCGACTTACCTTGGGATGCACGGCAACTCCTCTCTTCGACAAGCAGTACAAATTCTCCAAGATCTTTCTTAAGCTATAAAGTAGAGAAGTTAAGTTTGCGATGTAAGAAAGAGTGAAGAAAAGCCATGTATTTGTACAAGTTGGACAACTCGGGTCAAGAAGGAATCGCAAGCTCATTCCTACTGGGAATCCAACTCCAAGAACAGTCAGAAGCCTACGCCAATTAGGAATCCGATCTACAAAAAAGCCCAGACACAGTTGGAGAGCCCGAAAAAATAATTTCATCTCCTACATGCCACACAAGCGCCATGCAGAAGCTGGGGGGCATTTGTGAGAGCAAATATTTCCGTCTCCAATCACGGCACGCCACGTGGAAAAGAAGATTAACTCTTAAATTAATTAATTGAACCAGTTTATCTGGCCAATTAATTAATTGGAATAAATATCTTAATTAATAGGATATTATCTTTATTTAATAAGATAATATCATTAATTAAGATATTATCCTAATAAAGAGAAGATAATATCATTAATTCAGATATTATCTTCAATAAAAAGAAGATAAATATCATTAAATAAGATATTATCTTCAATAAAGAGATATAATCAAGTCCGACTCGATCCCTACGAATTTGGATAGAGAATAAACTCATCATATTCTCTACGAAACCCTAGCCCCGAGGCTCCTATAAATAGACTACTTCATTCATCATTTAAGGTACATCTAAACCTACTCCTAATACCCGAGAAAAATACCTGAAGCTCTCTCTCCCTCTCCATTCTCCATATTTTCTCCACACGGCTCCGGTCGCCCGGTTCACACCATACATAAACTCCGTACCCTTTGCTTAGCTATTGTTTTCCTACAAACACTCGAACTAACTTAGGCATTGGAGGGCCTTTGGCCAACACCCCCCGGGTGTGGTCTATTTACTCCAATATTTTTTTACAGGAATTGAGGAAGAAAGATAAGGAAGATCGAAGGTTGAAGGATCTAGAAGCGAATATTCTCCCTAGAGATTATTTGTACAAACATAGTCCGAGATGACTATTTCAACTTTAAAGACTATTTTGAATCTCTGTGGACCGTGGTAAAGACTTCTATTTGCTTTGAAAGCTATTTGGAGGCTCAGGTAATTATTTCTGTTTACTTGGCGGTCCCAACCCAAACCATATATATGCAGTTTGAGTTTGGCGTTGTATAACTTACTGAAGAGACTTGGGGAACTGAACCATGCATATTCCCTTCTAATGGCTAGCTCACCCTTACCGTCACCCTCATCCACACACTAGTAGCAACAGTTTACATATTGAATCAATGGTCAATAAGCTTTCCAATAACATATTTATTCTAGATAAGTAGCTGTGAGCCTGTGGCAATGAGAGGGTACTAAAGAGACAGATACTACTACGTGTGTGTGTGTGTGTGTGTGTGTGTGTGTATAAAGGGTGGATCCGTATCACCATATTTTTGAAACATGGTTTCAACACAAGTTCTTGACCATTAGATTAACACATTATAAATGGTTGAGATAAATCTCACTACTATTTATTACTATCTTTTTAATAATACTTTTTGCCTAAAATTACTATTATTTTAATAGACTAATTATGAATTCCACAGTTCCCATGATTCTCTCTCTATATCTTTTCTCCGTGTCCACTGTTGGCTCTACTTCTATCCCTCTTCCTCCATGGCCACCATTGACTACATCAATCAAGAATGCCAACAGCAATCAACAACTGCAATCCATTAATTAAAAAAATCTCTTCCCATCCTTCATCAGGGCAACAAGCATAACCCGATTCCTCCGGGCCTTGTTAAGATCATATCTTCAGTGCCTCAAAGTTCATCAAATTATGCAAAGTGAAAGCTTGAAGAACATGTTCAATGGATTAGTTGAACCAACCCCTGCAGACTATTCTCAAGAAATTATCTCACATCTTACCACTCATTATACAGTTTTACCAAGGCTCAATGATGAGACAAGTAATTAACTAAAGAACTAGGAATTTTCCGATGAGTTTTAATTATTAATTTAGAAAAGTTGATAGAGGTCCAAAAATCCAACCAATAATTGGGTCTAATCCTCGAATTATTTGTTTATTGATACAAGTCATTTAACTAGTTTGCCATGTAGATTACATTTCATCTTTGACATGTTGGTTAAAATTTTTGTATTTAACTAATTTGTATTTAAATTTTTTTGTTCCTATTATATCCCTATTGTCTAAAATGAGTAAGATGAGAATTTATATGCCATTATTTTTATTTTTGTTCACCCTATGGTAGAGGTATAGTATATACTCTTGTAGATAAATTATCCTATGGTGTAGGTATATTGTCATATTGCCTATTGCATAGGTATATATTTGTTATTTCATATTTTAGACAATGAATAATAGTATTTTATTTACATTTTTTTATAGGTAACATACAATTTTGTTTGTCTATTTTTGTATATGACTTATAGGTAGTCTTCAAATTTATGTTCCTAACTTATAGGTAGTATTCTAATTTATGTTCATGACTTATAGGTAACACAATTTATCACTAAGTTTTTTTCGTTGCTAATAAGAACACTATTTACATGTATGTTAGGTACATAATTTAATGTGGGTGCTTGCCTAATTGATTAGTATAATATGTGGGCTTTTACTTCAATTGATTAATTTGTATTTTACCCATAGAGTAATGCTACACTTACCACATTATTATCCCACATTTCTATACCACATGATGTGACATGTCCATGTCATATGTCATATCAATTAAATGAATGAAGTGTATTTTAATAAATAAAATTAGAAAAACAGAAACTAGTATTTTACATGATGTGGTATGTACACATCAGCCGCCACATCATGCGGTATAAAAAATGTGGTAAGACTAGTATTATTCTGTACCCATATATTAGGTAAATATTATCAATGAAAGAATTCCAAATTTAAATTCTAAAATTTAATTACAACTAAATAATTCATTAAATTTAGATTTTCAATGTTTTCCTTATGTACCTCCAAGGGTAAAATCGACACAATAAAAAGAGTAATAAAAGTCAAAGGACCTACATTTAAAACCAAAAACGGGTGGACTAAAACCAATGACAGCTAATCGTTTCTGACCTAGATCTAAGAACCCCTAATATGTATTCAGTATTATTGACAATAGCATCTCAATACAATAAGAGTTAACCAATTTAAATTCATAGATTTAATAGTGTTTAACCAGTTAACCAATAGCATTCTTTTCTCACGTGTATCAGTTATCTTTGTCTTGTAAAATTTTCTTCTAGTCTAAACATAAACCAGATCACGTCAAGGAAGATATCGGTTTTTTTCTGTACCATGTTCCCAGACTTTGTTCAAAACTAGTATGTATGTTTGTCTGAATTCAGTTGTAATTTATTTTTGCAGGTTTGCTTAGTTTCTGCTACACTTCCTCATGAAATATTGGAGATGACCAACAAGTTTATGACTGACCCTGTGAGGATACTCTTGTCAAACGTGATGAATTGACTTTGGAGGGAATCAAGCAATTTTTCTTCTCGGTTGAAAGAGAAGAGTGGAAGTTTGATGCATTATGTGATCCCTATGAGACTCTTACAATTACACGAGCTGTTATTTTCTGCAACACAAAACGAAAGGTGGACTGGCTCACCGAAAAGTTGAGGAGTAATAACTTTACTGTGTCTTCAATGCATGGAGACATACCTCAGAAGGAGAGAGATGCTATTACCCAAGAGTTTCGCAGTGGCAATTCTCGTGTCCTCATCACAACAGATGTTTGGGCACGAGGCCTTGAAAGTTAAAATTTTTTTTTTCCTTTCTAATTATCTAACAACCATTAGATTAATATATAAACTCTCTTCATGACATTGCTTCTAATTTCTCCTTCGTTCTGGTATTAATAGCAATTACCATGTTATACGTATACAGACACTGATTTTCTAATTATTATTTTGGTGTTATTCCCCCTTTTTCAGGTTTCCTTGGTTATCAATTTTGATCTTCCAAACACTCGAGAGCTGTATATTCATCGGATTGGTCGTTCTGGTCGTTTTGGGCGCAAGGTATGCATGTATTCTGATTCTTATGCAAGTGCATTTGTAAGTATGTTTTGCTGATTACTGTTTATTAGCTTTATGTTCGCAAGTTTTAATCACAATTTGGTATTTGATTATTTGTAGGGTGTGGCAATAAACTTTGTCAAAAGCGACGATATAAAGATCTTAAGAGACATTAAACAGTACTACAGCACCCAGATTGATGAAATGCCGATGAACGTTGCAGATTTGATATGACATCTCTGTTGCTAATTTGTATACTAGCAGAAGCTAGAACTTTTAGAAGTTAAATTTTTGTTTAGGCTAGTGTGACTGAGATTTTAAAAGCAACTTAATGTATTTGGGTATTGGTCGAATTCAAGCTGGTTCCTGCATTCCATTATTGCAACTCTTACAAGTTTTGGTAATGTTGAACTAATGCCATGCAACTGCCGTGCCCTCGATTCATATAACCGAATTTCTCCCGGAGCAGAAATGGAGGGAGGGGACTGGAAAACTCAAATCCTCTTCTAACCAATGCGTTTGATGATTCTGTGTCTGGACGGTCTTGTAACTTGTAATTTTGTAATGCTAGGATACTGGCCGTGTAACATTTAACTAATTGAGTAATATTACTGTAAGAAACCCTTTGAGATTACAGTAGATGACTTCAATCATTGCAAGAGCACAGTACACCTTCTCAATCAATGAGTAGTTAATGCCACTAACAGCATTAGACTGCAGATCAAGTTCAAACAAAAACCTCCTGCTACCAAGGTAGCCCCAAGCCTCTCCAGTGGAAACAACGAAAACAAGCTGCATTAAAATTTAGGATCATCAAAACTACAATTCTACATGCATAGCACTCAGCAGCGATAGATGGTCACCAAGAATCTAAGAACAAAACAAAATTGGTTAAGATAAATGAATGCACAAAAAAATACATTTCTAACTACACCATTTATATTATATTATATTAAAAATTAAATTACATGCATAGTTCTTTTGTTTCAAAATTTATTTTGCATATTGGTAATAATAACTAAGCATTAGTAGAAAAAACACTAAAATAATTAAATAACATCAAAAAGAGGGGGCAAGCCAAGTGTACAAAAGAACACCACTATGGCTTGTTTGATAGGGTGGACAAGACTAGACTGGATTAGACTAGCAAAATGCGCACATTTCATGTGCATTTAAGGTATAATATGGATATGTTGTTTAACTTGGTGGAAGAATGGGACCCAAGATAGTCTCACTCATAGTATTTCTTATAAATATAAGAGGAAGTGAACAGATCAAAACACAACCAAAAAATCAATCAAAGACAAAACTCAAAAGGATCACTTGATCTCAAAAAGCCTTCAAACAAACTGAAGCAACCAAAAGCTCATTGAGCCACAAGAAAGAAGCCAGCTACAAATCAAAACTTCTTGTTTCAGTTCAGACTTAGAGAAATAAGTCATTCAAAACGAGATTTCTCTCATTACAAATTTGGTTCAGCAAAAGCCAAATCAAGCAGAGTTCGGGTTTTTACAAATATGAAAACCTCAACAAATTTATAGAGAGCCCTGATCAAGCAGAACATGTACCATAGTGCTGTTTGTCCGTCGCAAATCTCTCGACTCCGGGCCGAGGAGATGCGCGTCAACACATGACGTCCTTCTTTTAGATGCGGTGCGGTTGTGCGCAGGCGTGCCAACACGGTCTACCGTGCGTCGAGATGATGATGAGGTTCGAGTAGAAGATGGTTTAAGTGTTGCGCCTGTTTTGCGTTCGACTCCTAATCAAACGAATTATGGCCGAGTGAGGAATGAATCTCTACCGTCAGGTTCACGGCCTGAGCTACAAGGCTGTTTAGTGGTGGTGTTGGTGGCGAGTTTTAGGTTGTGCTCCGGCGCGTTGCTCAAAGAGCGACGGTCGTATGATATATGGGGTGAGTGAGGTGATAACAGATGGTGCTCCGGCGCCTTGAAAATCAAGGGTCGTATGAAAGATTGATGAATGGATTTTCCTTACAATCTACCACTACTCCTAGGAAAGCAAATAAAGGTATTGAAAGCGCATTACAGGAAAATATAATTTGCTTTGTGGGAGGCTTTTGGTTTTGGTGTTTGAACCCTTTGAACGTAGTCCTGAGCTTAGTATTTATAGGAGTCCTGGAGGGACACTCGAGGCTGACAAGACCTGCGTGGTGGAGCCTGACCGGGGCAAGTGGGTAGTCAAATCGGCATTTGGGATCGTGAAGTATGGTGGTCTAGGGTTGAGAAGCATGGTGTTGTGACCCCCATAAATCTCGACAAATCTCGGTCACCGCCTTGATCGTGGGTTCTGCCCCCTTGGCCGTGGGAACGCATTTAATGCCCTGGACTGGTGGTTGAGATCTAAGTCGTAAGATTACTTGTGAGAATGTCTGCGCCTAACCACCCTGATTCCTATCACCAAATCCTGACTTCAGTCACTTCCCTCGTGCATTGAATGCTTCTTGTGACTAGTGGGTTTTGCTGCGAAGTCAGATGCATTACTTCATTAAATGGAGTGTGGGGCCCTAAGGCCACGTGGCAATTCAACCACAGCTTTTTCAGACCGTGTTTAGTTTAATTCTTAACTTTTGAAATAAAATTAGAAAATTAAAAATTAAAAAGAGAATTTCCTACCAGCCAACTATCTCCTAACCCAACAACCCTAATCCCAACTACCTGCTATGACGGCCACCCCTTCTCCTTCCACTATCTTCACCCCTCATACTAATTGCAGACGGGGTTTTAGAGGAAGGAGGATTAAACTGGTATTGATGATGATGAAATGGAGTAGTCTTGATAATTAAAAATTGGTTCGTTGTTGAGGGTCTAGATCTGGATCTGAAAACATTCCAAGGTGGCAGTGGGTTGAAGCTAGTGGTGGTGGAATTAACATTGTGTAGAGTGTCATGAGCGAATTCAGAAAAATAATAATATAGGGGAATTAAGGAAGATGATGATATTATTGGGTTTGGATGTTGATGGTTTTCATGGGGAGCGGCGATGGCAGTGGTGAACAGAAAGAGAGAAGGGAGGAAGAGGAAGAGAGAAGGGTGGCTGCGGCTGCCATGGTTTTTCTTCGTTTAAGTTTTCCTTTTTCTAATTTTATTTCAAAACTGAAGAATTAATAAAGTAAAAAGTCCAGCTGTGAAACAATAATTAATTTCTTTTATAAAATAGACACATGGTCATATTTGAATGGGAGTACTATACGCTGACGTGGTACTACCGTATCATTCTATAATTTCTCGTCGACTAGGGACTGTCCTGGGTCAACTACCGTTGGATTATATCCAATGGTGAACATCAGTGTGAACAATAAACCTAATTAATGCAATTTGTTTTGGCTAAATAATTTTTAAAAGAGAAACTACCATTATGTTTTTTTTTTTTAATCCTCTAGCAAGAGTTGGTGGATCTGTTTCCTCCTTGAAAATCTCTTATCCAATGCTTGTAGTTCTCTCCCATTTTCAAACTTGGCAACAAAAAAGAAAAGAGGGAAAAATCATCATCAATTTGCTTTTAGGATTGCCTTTAGCTAATTTGGTTGATATTAATTATCAAACTTTTTTCGACCAACAAAAGAATCATCTCACTCTTTTATTAATTGCATTTCCATTTCAGTATTTGATTATGATAGTGTGTTGGGATGGATTCCGAGTTTCTGCATTTAGCATCGGTGCATTTATATGCAGTTAAAGGAATCTTAACCATTTGATTAATCTTATAGCTACGATTTTACCACATCAGCATGATTATATTAAAACCTTATGCACTGTATCAACTACCCGCATTTATATCCTCCATTGTCTTCATCATTTGGAAAACTCTCCTTTCCAATGCCATTGCTTCCGCCGTTGCCTCACCCCATCCTCTCCTCCCTCATTACCCACGTACCTTCCCCTCATCATCTTCCATTATCTCCAAACCACACCCCACGCCCCCAAGCAGATCTGAACATAGCAAAAAAAACCAAACTATATGAACTAAAATCTTGAATGGATTGAATGGCATTTGTTTGTGGGTCTCTAAGCGCATCTATAATGGTTGTTCAACAATTCATTTCAGTTCAATTTATTAAACTTTTTTGGCAACTATTGTGTAGTTTCACTTGTAGTGGTGCAATTCAATAGCTTACAAACTAAAAACAATATTTTTTAAATGATTGAATAAAATAAAATAAATCAAGTTAATTACGATAAGAGATATACAATTAAAATGGTTTCAAAGAGATCTTTGAAAAGAGACCAATTTTGAATATATATATAAAAAAATTAATAAAAAAATTTTCTTTGGTTGGTGACAATATTATATTAACATTTTGTTTTCTAAAGAATTGGAAGTTGAGATTAAATGAGAACACATCAGAGCACCTATTTTTCAGGTTATTGTATAACAAAATTGAATATGAATAAGCCATTTGTGTATTTATAGGTAAGTAAATAGTCGATTGAAAGGGAACTAGCCATTTGTATTTTTGAAAACTGAAATAAATTAACAATGGCTAGTATATATAATTAGCTATCCTTTTTTTTTTTTTTGAAAAGTGAAACAGATCATAAACGAAAGTAATTGATAGTTTACACTAATTAAATGTATTGGAAAAATTAAAAAGTAATGTTGTCCATATGTCAATAAGAGAGTGGCCGTATAGTTATTATGATGAGACAACTAATTGAAATGAATTTCATTTTAGAGTTCATTTTATTGACCTCTGAAATGAACTATTGATCCACGAAATGAAATATTAATATCTGAAATGAACTGAACTTTACCACAAGAAGTCAAAAGTTTAATTTATTAAAATTAAATTGAAATGATCTTCACCATTGCATATACTCTAATTCTAGGTCTGAATTTCATCTTTTGTCTCCAAACCTCTTTTGCACATGAATTTGAATTAACTGTTCTTTAACCCAACAATGAAGAATTTATTGGAGAAAGTTAAAAGAAAACTTAAATATTCAATTGGATATTGGGAAGAATTTATCTAAGCAACCATTCATGATTAAAACATAATTCTCATATCACATCTTAAAGGGAAAATTGGGTACATGCCAATTGGGTAATTCAAATCTTTGGGGAAAAACAAGTAACAGTTGAGGAGCAAGCATCTACAAATTCTCCACTGTCGATCGTTCAATTATCAATGGTCAAGTTGCTGTTGTCAAACGCCAGTAGCCAGAATATTCAGATTATATACAGTACATGCTTGCTTGAAGATTCAAATAATTTGGATGATTGATACAGTACATAAGGTGAGTTTTTAATTTTATATAATTCTGCTGACATGGTCGAATTTTAGTCATTAATCAAATGATTAAGATTCCTTTAAATATGTATAAATGCACCGATGCTAAATGCAAAGACTCGGTGGGTTGGGATTGGGAAGGGTACTGATGGTGCTGAAGTCATATCAGTTTTCTTTCCAAAAGTTTAAAAGTTATTTACCCACAATAAATTGCATTAAGTAGATTTGCTACTCAAAACGTGTGTTCCAACTTAAATGAAAATAGAAAGCTGAGCAAATAATACGACGTCGTCTTATAAAGAAAACCTCAAAAAGGAAAAGAAAAAAAAAAACACGCGTGCTCTCTTCTTCTTCTACCGAAATTCAAACATTTTTTTATTATAAAATATCTAGGAAAAAAAAAAAAAAACTAGAAAGTGGCTTTGGAGATTTTTTTTCTAATTTAAAAAATTTGAAATTCAAGGCGAGAAAAAAGAGTTCAAAATTGAAATTGAAGGTGTAATGGTTCTCCAAGACTCAAACTACGAGGCACGAAGGGACTTTCCATAGCCCGTCGATACCAGCCAGAATTTCCACTTTCCGTTTAATCTCTCAGGTTCGTGTCAAGCCTTCATGTAACTCGTTAGTTTTCACGCCTGCCGTTTTGTTTTGATCCGGGTTAAAGCTCAGACTCTGTTTGGTTGCCGAGAAAACTGAAAGGAAATGCTGAGAAACTGAAAGGAAATGATGAAATTTAGGTCTAATGGGGTTTTACAATTGGAATCAGATTAGCTTGATTAAGGGAGTTGCTTGAGTTAATGCTGACGAGGCCCAAATAGTGTGAGTTTTGAAAGTGTCAGTGATCACCTTTTTCTGTTGAACTTTGTATTTTCAGGTTTAGCTCATTGGCAAAATCCTACGCTCAATTCAGTTCAGTTGGTAAAATTCAAGAAAGAGAGGAAAATGACGCTTCTAAGTAGATTCTTTTACAAAAGACCCCCAGATGGGTTGCTTGAATTTGTAGAGAGAGTATATGGTAACATTCTTTTCTTCATCCTTTAATCTAGTGTTGCTATTATTTGTTTGCATTAAATCATATGTTTTCATAACTTGTTTTTTTTCTTATTTTTGTTTCATGATATTAAATATGGGGCAGTGTTTGATTCGTGTTTTTCCACCGAGGTCTTGCCTGAGGAAATGTACCAAATATACCTAGATGAAATTATTACTGAGTTACATGAAGAATTCCCGGACTCATCCTTCCTTGCATTCAATTTTCGTGAGGGTGAGAAACGTAGCCAGTTTGCTGAGATACTATGCGAATACGATGTTACAGTTATGGATTATCCGCGGCAGTACGAGGGTTGTCCAATGCTCCCATTATCTCTCATTCAACATTTTCTCCGTGTTTGTGAGAGTTGGCTCTTGCTTGACAAGCAACAGAATGTTATTCTTCTCCATTGTGAGAGGGGAGGTTGGCCACTCTTGGCATTTCTTTTAGCTAGCTTTCTCATTTTTAGGAAATTGCATAGTGGTGAACGAAAGACTCTTGAAATTGTACATCGAGAAGCTCCTAAAGGTTTCTTGCAGCTCTTGTCGCCTTTGAATCCTCTTCCGTCTCAGCTTCGATACCTTCAGTATGTGGCAAGAAGAAATATAGCTCCAGAGTGGCCACCTCCTGAGAGAGCACTTTCTTTAGACTGTGTCATTCTTCGAGCCATTCCAAACTTCGATACCCATAAAGGCTGCACTCCAATTATCCGTATTTTTGGTAGGAATCTGCTTAGTAAGGGTGGGCTTTCGACCCAGATGATATTCTCCATGCCCAGGAAGAAGACACTTCGGAACTACCGTCAAGTAAGATTTATACTGTTCTAAGAATTTTCCCACTTGATGTTTGTCATTCTATGTTTTTGCATTGGTCAATGTTCCTTATATCCCTACTCCAGTTATAATGTTCTTTCTTTGCAGGAAGACTGTGATGTCATCAAAATTGACATTCAGTGTTTAGTGCAAGGAGATGTTGTATTGGAGTGTGTTCATGTAGATTTGGATCCAGAGAGGGAAGTTATGATGTTCCGTATTATGTTCAACACTGCATTTATTCGTTCCAATATACTGATGCTGAATTCGGATAACTTAGACATTCTATGGGATTCAAAGGAACGCTATCCAAAAGGCTTCCGAGCTGAGGTGACTATTAGTGAGCCCTTTGTTTTGATCTTCATAGAAAAATGATTAAACATGGTGCCTTTTGTTGTATGAATATAGACATGTATATACTTGCAAGGAAATGTTATTATGCCAGACTGAGGATCTGGAGCATGCATTTTAGTAAGAATCATCCTGATCAATGGTCCAGATTAACAGTGTGGCAACATAGGAGTCTTATGTTGCTAGACAGTGCAAGAGAACTTACTCTATGTATACACCATATTAAAAAACATAACATATATTTGCGTATTCTTATTTTCATATAAGTTAGCCATCCATCTGATTGAATGAACTCATTTATTCAGGTATTGTTTGGGGAGTTTGAGAGCATCTCTCCTCCTAAAGCTCCAACTACAATTTTAAATGGCGAGGAGAAAGGTGGATTGCCCCTTGAAGCTTTTTCGAGGGTTCAAGAACTTTTCAATGGGGTTGAGTGGGTTGATAGCAATGATGATGCAGCCTTGTGGTTGCTTAAACAGCTCTCTGTACTAGGTGATGCAAAAGAAATTTCAAGGTTGCAAAACAAAGTGAATTTATATTCGTCACCTGCTGACTCTGAAGAAGAAAATAATGCATCTAGCACTGCTGACAGTGCTGATGAAGCGTTTGATACTGTTTCCAAGGCTTCAGCAGATTCAACGAAAGCATTGATGCTGGACGCATTTGATTCAGTGCCTGTAGCATTTGAAAATGATGGTCCACCAGAAGTGAACCTTGCTTCAGAGTCTGCTGATCAAGAGTTAATTGGACCTGTTCTGCACTCTCTTCATCAACAATCATTAGATACAAGTAATGGATCTCCACCTTGTTCATCCCCGCAATCATTGCCACTCCCACCACTATCAATTGAACCATTATGTCCTGCGCTTCACCCTCCACCACCACCGCCACCACCACCTCCTTCCATTGGTGCTTGTAGAGATTCTTTAGACCCCCTACCTTCCAGTACTAGCAGAGGTCCACCAGTACCACCACCTATTGCTCTACCTCATTGTGTCTCTGGCAAAGGTCCACTGCTACGTCCTCCCCCACCACCACCACCTCCTCCTAAATCTAGTCAAGAGTCTTTGCCGCCACCCCCACCTCCACCTCCTCCGTTTTTGGGAAGTGCACCCAACAAGGTACAATCAATAGCAGCACCGCCACCGCCACCGCCCCCTCTTCCTGCAACTAACAAGCTACAACCTCCCCCTCCTCCCCCCTCCAGTTCTAGTTCTGGTCGTGGACCACCGCCTCCTCCACCTCCTCCACCCTCCAGTTCTAGTTCTGGTCGTGGACCACCGCCTCCTCCACCTCCTCCACCTCCTCCACCATCCAGTTCTAGTTCTGGTCGTGGACCACCGCCTCCTCCACCTCCTCCACCTCCTCCACCATCCAGTTCTAGTTCTGGTCGTGGACCACCGCCTCCTCCACCTCCTCCACCTCCTCCACCATCCAGTTCTAGTTCTGGTAGTGGACCACCACCTCCTCCACCTCCTCCTCCTATGAGTGGTAGCCTTGGTAATAATACCAGGCCATCACCCCCACCTCCACCTCCTTCAGGACCGGGAAGGCCAATCCCGCCACCTCCACCACCAGCACCAATGCCCCCAAGTGCTCCTCCACCACCCTCAAGTCGTGGTGCAACACCACCTCCTCCACCACCTGGAGCAAAGGGCTCCAATGCACCACCGCCACCGCCACCAGCCATTGGAAGGGGCAGAGCTTCTTCTGGGCCGACAAGTCTTGGAAAAGGTCGTGGCACTGGTGCCATTAATGCCCCGAAGAAAAATTCGTTAAAGCCCTTACACTGGGTCAAAGTTACTCGAGCAATGCAAGGGAGTTTATGGGCAGATTCTCAACAACAGGAAAATCAGTCAAGGTGCATTCTTATGGAATTCTTCTAGACATTTGATTCTTAATAAACAAAAAAAAAAAAAAAAAAAAAAAAAACACAAGCACTATGAAAAGTCACTCTGTCAAATATTAGGTTCCATTGTTAGTGTACAGCAGGATTATAATTGTCACTGAAATGAGCTTAAGCGAATCCATTATGCATTGTCACATTATTTTTTCTTCATTCTTTCCATGTGATGCTAATTGTCTTGAGTTTGTTTTTGCTTTTTTCTTCTTGGTTCTCTTTCCTCAGTTCCTCTCCGTTTCTCTTCTGATGCAACATTGTGGGATTTTTTCTCAGGGCTCCAGAAATAGATATGACAGAACTTCAAAGTCTGTTTTCAGCAGCCTCTGCTTCAGATGGGAATGGCAGTAGGGGTGGAGGTCGACGCGGTTCTACCATCACCAAACCTGAGAAAGTGCAATTGGTGAGCTTTCTTTCTTCTGCCATGCAGTATTTTTGGTTTGCTTTAGGCTTTTATTGTGCTTGATGCTTTGCCACTTATAGGTTCATTAATCATTATTTGTTTCAGTGATAAGTTTTTACTTCATAAATTGTTCAATTGATGCAAACATGTCTCTGTTGCTTTGCCTTTATAAAAAAAAAAAATCATGAAGCCTCAAGTAGTAGGAGGATTGGGAATTTAACTTCTTCCGATTGTAATTTGATCACACATGTTTTGTATGTCAATTTTCAATCATACATAAGCACCCAAGTAGTGGGAGGATGGGGTACAGCAGGCATTTGTTTGTATGTTAAATCTTGTGCCTAAGAAACGGAATTGACAACCTAAGCTAAGACCAAGGTTATTGGCAACATTGTTGATGTTTCGGTCAAATCAGGGTGCAACATTAGATAGGGTGGAGGTGCATCTTAAAACAGTTGCAGAAATTTTGAAGAAATCTCAGCAGTTTCAGTAATGTTGACATAGTATTGGTATATCTATGCATATCAGTCTTTTTTTTAATACTGAAATTTGGTGGAATTTGAGTGAAATTACCCAGTGACCATGTTTACCCAACCATGTGGATTTTCATTTTAATCAGTTAGCTTTGTCAACTAGCCTTTAGCCTTGATTGCAAAAAGCAGCAGACTAAATGGGCTTTGAATTCTGATAAAAGCTCCGGGCTAGGCTGTAACTTGCAACTGATAAATGTAGCCAATGAACAATATCATTTAACTGCTCCAGAGGAGTAAATATAAGTAAATGACTCATGTTACTTGAAATAATCTTAACACATATAATCCTTGTTAACCAATAAAACTCATTTGTCAATTCAATACATAGTAGCTCTATATAAAGCTAAAAAGAAAATGAGTTGAGATAGTTCTAATATAAAATATGTACATAAATCATGAAAGTATAGGTCACCTGCGTAAGTTTTTTCAACTATACATGCCATATATTTAGCAGGGATACATATAGCTTGCTAGCATTTCTTAAAATCTCATTCACAATCTTCATGTTGTACATTTTTTATTTTTCATCAATATTTCCGGTGACATTGATATTTCCATTGTTATTTTCTTAAATTCGGAGTACCTATAGATCTACTGGCAATGAAATTTTAATCCTTGGCCAAGACCACGTATTACATATTCTTGTTTTGTCTAATTGATATCAAGGAAAATCCTGGGAAAGGATAGAGTCTGAATTCTCCAAATAGCCTAGTTGGCTCCAGATTTCAATCATAATCCCTAATTGAACAAATTATAAGTATGGAAAGCAGAAATTTCAGCAAAATTTCAAGAAAGTTGGAAATCATGTTCCTTAGGGTACCTATGCTTTATGATATCTCCAGCCTTGATTCCCTCTAGTGTGATCTTTAGGATATGTATGTAGACTTAATTTGTTATTTTGTCTCTGTTTATCAGGTTGACTTGCGACGAGCATATAACTGTGAAATCATGCTCTCAAAAGTAAAGATCCCTTTGCCAGATATGATTGTAAGTTCTTCTTTCTACTCATGTACATTTCACAGATATCATCAGAAAAAAAGTGTTTTCCTCTGGTTTCATAGCCTTCTATTTGCATGGCTTGGGGAAATGTGGATGGATGAATGTTCACATTAAGTCTGTGTCTACTCTTGAGGACATGAATGTTGAGCATTGATATTTTCATAGTTAGTGACGTTGATGTCCTCATATCTGATGACATTTCTCTCATTCATGTGTGAAAATCATCCATTCTTCTAATTTATGGTCATCTTATCTTATAACAAGGATATAGGAAGGAAATTCAACTTTGGCATCTTTTGTGATTGTTGCGTGGATGTTTTATGTCTATTGCAGATAGTGTCATGTCCCAATTGTTGTATATGGTCATTAATAATGCTTATTAGGCTATTAGCGTATAATGGTGCTAAACTTAGGTGTTTATGCTTCTAGAATGCAGTTCTGGCCCTGGATTCTTCTGTTCTTGACATTGACCAGGTTGAGAATCTCATTAAATTTTGTCCTAGTAAAGAAGAAATGGAAACTTTGAAGGTAAGTTGCTCTTCTTTCCCACTCCTCTTCCACAGAAATTCGTACTTCTATATGTTGGGCATGTACATGTCTTTTTGATTGATACTAATGTTATCCTTGCTCCAGTAATTTGATCTTTATCGATGCTGTGTACATAGATTTCATGAATTTTCACTTGTATTTAAAAAAGAAAAGTAATATTTTAGTGTTCTGGATAATGGGTTTAGAATCTTGTTTGCATATAGTTTTTGTAGTTTATTCCCAATAAAAAAAGTTTCTTCAGTTTATAGTACCCTGCCAGTATTCTTGTACTCAAACTTGGAACAAAGTGAGATGATTTTTCCCTTTTTCACACTAAAACGGTATAAGACTCTAAACAGTCCTAAGGTTGACACAATATGAGTTTACATCAGCACAACAAACCAACAAAGAAAGCTGCAATGTGAATTAAACAAACCTAATGTTTCTGATAGCGTTTTTGTCTTCTTGCTGTAGTGTTGAGGTTGACCCCTTTGTCCACAACTTGTAATGCTTTTGAGATTGATCAATAAATTTTTTCTTTAAAAAAAAAAAATAATAATAATATGGTGAGATTATAGATTTCTTTGAATTACTAGAGATTGTCTAGTTTAGAAGGTTGTTACTTCTTTAATAGTGCTGATTCCATTTTCCTCCTTCCAGAACTATACAGGCGACAAGGAAATGCTAGGAAAATGTGAACAGGTTCTTTCTAATACCAACATCTTAAATGCAAGTTTGTTCTAAATTCTATTTGATTTCCTACTAACAGCGTCTTTAGTAAGTACTTCAGTTTTTCGTAGAGCTGATGAAGGTTCCACGAGTAGAATCCAAGTTGCGAGTATTTGCTTTCAAAATTACCTTTTCTAGTCAGGTAAATTGTAGAGCTTTATTTTCTTTATATGATTTTGCGTGGTATATACTTAACAGCATTTTGGTGCTTGAATTGGATCAGGTGAATGACTTAAGACTTCATCTGAATACAATCAATGGTGCTGCTAGAGAGGTATCATGAGAATCAGTGGTTATTAAACTAGTACATATGAGCATATTGTTGGCCTCCACTTGATTTGACAATTATGTGCAGGTTAAAGAATCCGCGAAACTACGACAGATAATGCAGACAATTCTTACTTTGGGAAATGCCTTGAATCAAGGCACTGCTCGAGGTACTACTGTCTAATGGTTGTTTTAATTCTTCCTATGATTCTGTTGCCATTATTTTTCTTGGTATTTACATTATTACCATTATGTTCCTTAGCCTAAATGTTTAGTTTTAATTTTGCAGGATCTGCCGTAGGATTCAAATTGGACAGCCTTCTTAAATTGTCTGACACCCGTGCAAGAAACAACAAAATGACTTTAATGCATTATTTGTGTAAGGTATGGCAGTTGAAAATCTTAACCATATCGATTCGTAAGATTTTTCCGCCATCTAGTGCCTTGTCAAAGTTGGTGTTAATGCAGATGTCTTGCTTTTTCATATTTTGCAATTTTTTGGCGTTATTAAGGATATTCATGTCATGCCTTTATCAATTTTTGTCTTCATTAGCTCATTGCTGAGAAAATGCCAGAGTTGCTGGATTTTAATAAGGATCTTGTTCATTTAGAAGCTGCCTCTAAGGTATGCTGTTTATGTTGCTAGAATTCGTTCTTTCCGATGTTTGTAGCCTGTATTAGTAACCATGTCATAGCTGACCTGTCCAATTCCTTGCTTGCATATGTTTGATCATAACATCAAATAATCAGATTCAGTTGAAAGCTTTGGCTGAAGAAATGCAAGCTGTGAGTAAAGGTCTTGAAAAGGTTGAGCAAGAACTTGCTGCTTCAGAAAATGATGGAGCAATCTCTGCTGGCTTCCAAAAGGTGAGAAATACTGATGTTATTTTGGTTTTCTCAAATAAACAGCATATACCAGTTTAGAATTTCTATTTTATAAAGATAATATTAATCATGGATGAAAATGTCGGCCAACAACTAGACATTTCGGCCGAAGTGTCCCTTTTTCAAGTGTCAACAGTGAAACTAGGGGGCTAACAGCATCTCTTCTCCCATGTTGGCGAGATTTCCCCAACATTGCTGACATTTCACGATAATCCCAACATATCTTGATATTCCCTACAAACCCAGAAAAAAAAAATCTTTATTTGTGAAGGTATTCATCCGAAATAGAAGGAAAAAGAGGAAGAAGATGCAAATTCAAACAAAAGAAACTGTAATCATTGTTTAGAATCTCTTATTCAGTCAAATATAAACCACACCAAGCCTAAATTAATTACCCATGTACTAACCCAGCCAATTAATCAAATTAACCCCTTTGTCCATTTTCACTTATATAAAAAATGATATCGATATCCCTGAAATATGTATAAATTGGAGGGCTGATTTTATCTGCATGGCTGACATTTTCATCCTTGACATTAATTAAATACTTGTTATCTACAACTTCATCTTGAAAACTAGTCACACTTCTTAAATGTTTCAGTTATATCATATTCTTGTGTTTGAAGTGAAAGAAGAATGTTGTCAAACCAAATGTGTTACAATCAACTAGTGTAGTTCCAGTGGTACAGCACTTTACCCTAACACCCACAGAAAGAGTTTAACTCTGGCTCTTCTCCTTCTGTTAAGAAAATTTATAGTTCTGAAGTATAAATTAACAAGAAAAGTGTGATTAGTATACCTTTTGGGCAGGCCCCTTTTATATATCCTCTTTTCTTCCTCCCAATAGAAATTGAAATAACACCTCCGTCACCTCTATAACACATAACAATCCTAAGTAGTTTCAGCAGCAACCCGATGGATATAATGATTATAATCTGATTGATTTGTACCAGACAGTAGCGATGTAGAGGTCCATACTAGTTGGGACCCACTGCCAAGTATATTATCCTAATGTTGTTCCTAGGAGGGATCTTTTGGAATTTCTTTTAGACCTTTTTCTGGTACATACAAATGTATGTCCTAGAAAGTACTGAGAAAAAAACATGAGTTTTTTTTTTTTACTTTAAGCTTTCTCATTCATTGTTTCTTCGAAGTAAATTGCTTATGATATTTTCTATTTCTTTTGGTCAAGGCTTAGGATATTTTCGAGACATTTAAACATAGGAGATAAGTTTAGTTGTTACCTTTATATTTCAACTTAAGAAGCAGAACTTCCCCCTCTGCAGGTCCTGAAACATTTTCTTGATACTGCTGAAGCTGAAGTAAGGTCACTAATATCTTTGTACTCTGAAGTGGTGAGTGCAGTCCAGAGTTCCAGAGTTCTTATCTTGTTGATTGATGGCTTTGTTTTATGCAGGCTTACTGATGGTATAATGTCTTAACTCATTTTTTCCAGGGAAGAAATGCAGATTCTTTGTCTCAATATTTTGGGGAAGATCCAGCTCGGTGTCCTTTTGAACAAGGTCTGCTATGATCTTCAACTCATGAATACACAACACATTCTTCACTTTATTATTGGTGGTGGAAAATGATTGAAATCCATTCATGGTTTTCCAAGTACTGATTTAAATATTCAAGGGAAAAAAAATATGGATATAGTGGTTATAATTCGGTCGATCATGTGATGCAATGTTTTGAGTTCTAGTTTTCCAGAGATTATATGAATTTCATCCAAAATTTATTTTATGATCTCTTTGATTTTCATGTCAAATTATTAAAACCTTTGATCTTTGACGTGTCTTGGCCGTGCAGTGACACAGGTCTTGTTCGTTTTCGTCAAGATGTTCAACAAGTCACGAGAGGAAAATGAAAGACTCGCTGACGTCGAAAAAAGGAAGCTTGAAAAGGAAGCCATGAAAGAACGAACTGTAACTAATTCATCTGCAAGGAAAGATGGTGTTAAATAGAGCAACATGAAATATACACATGTTTATGTTTTGGTGGGTAAAATCAATATATTGCAGAAACAAGCGGTCAATTTTAGAATTGACTTTTAGTTCATGCCCAAATTCGACCAACAATTTACACAAGGTTGACAAGTGCAAGTCGAAATTCTGATGTGTGCCCAATTCTTTTAAAGAGGCAGGTTTTTACTTTTTCCGAAGCTACTGATTAGGTCGAGATGGCAGCCAGAAGGCAACTTGACCTTTGCTCTCTGAGAAAAATCCTCGACCCATGGATCAATTGTATTCATGCTGTAAATATTATAAGAACAGATGCTAGCATTGTAATCCTTTCCTCGCATCTCTTGAAACATTTTCTAGCATCTTATTTGATTTCGTGTTATGTCTTTTTCTCCCTGTACTAGACAATCACAATTTTGTGCCTGCCAAATTGGTTGATGTCTGTGATTACGAGGTTGATTATCAATGATCTTGTCACAGGTACAAATTTTTTGTTGTTAAGTTTTGGATTTGGATTGCCTTGAAGAATGACATTGAGCTCAAAACTGCGATGATTTTTTGAACATACAAAGTGGTAGATTATCAGTTCAAAACCCTAGCAACCTTACAACTGATGAGTCCAAAAGATGCTGAAAATGTTGAAATGAAAAGACTCATACCAATTCATCCACTTCATGCAGTGAACTTCAAAAGCTGTTGCTTGATAATGTTCTTCATTACAGCTTGATTTTTTTGTTGTCAAAGATTACAGTTTGATTAAATGCTTCACAAATGCGGAAAGGAGTTAAGAGGCTCAACATTGATCCTCAGTAACCCAAGCATTATCCCCAGAAAAAGCACATTCATATGATTGGTTAAATTAAAGCCAATTTGATTGCCACTATATGTAGTCTTCAACCGCTGACCAAGTCTCATGCTTGTCCTACAGCAGAAAAAGAGGTTTCTTGCTCTGATGCTTCTTTCCTTTTAGCCTTCTCTTTCTCAAGCAAGTAAATCTTCTCTGATTCAGGTATAGCCAGCATGATTGTGTGCAGCCTCAAATTCATTTCCTCAACCTTTTCCATGAGCCTGTCATTTGTAAACATGCCGAGAATGACACTCCTGATCGTTTCCCAGCTTTCTACTATCGGTAATGCAATGATTGCAATCGAACCTATCGTACCCCATGCTATTGCAATGACTGCCCAGAATGTGAAGTACCCTAAACTGAAATCCCCTGCATTCAGAAACAATTTATGAAATATCAATAAGAAACATTTGGGGAAGTCCATGCACTATTCATCTTCTGACAGACATCTAAGTTCTTATAAACTGTTACTATCTGCAATCTTAATAAGTTCTCCAAAGTTTACCTGCTGGAAGAGTGAGAAGAGGCCACAATAAAACAATGACCACAGTAAAGCCAACACCCCATTTCACAATCCATGCCTTTGCTCTCAACAATTTTTCCTCCTTGTACTCTTCTGCTGGTAGATCACTCTTTTCTTTCTCAACCACAGTGATCTTCTTAGTGGTGCCCCAATCATAGTTTTGTGGTGACAAGAAGCTGCAGATAGCATGTATGGCTCCACCAGTAAGTATAGAGACAAGGTTTCCAGAAAGCATTGGCGCGTTTCGACCAGTTGTGTCAAGATTTACGCGGCCATACTCGATTTTTGTAACAGATAGCCAAGTGATGATTCCAAGAACACAGCCAACAATTGCTCACTCCCATGGCCAGATACATCCAACCCAATGAAACTCCAGCCTTGTTTAGTATTACTGCTAACATCCCCATAAAGCATCCAAAAGCAAGGATGACACCCCTTGATACCTGGAGGATTTTCTTCCCGCTTGCTTCTGGGTTTATGTATGTACGGTAGATATCATATGTGCATAATGAGGATACTGCTATAAGCTCTGAAGAACCAGCTGATGTCACTGCCCTGCTCAATATATAAGATAAGAGAGTTGAATTATCAAAACCGTAAAGACATTGAAACAGAAAGTGCAACAGAGTTAGGTAATCCTCAAGTGTTCGATACATCCTGACGGTAAATGTATTAAATTGTGCACAACAAGATAAACTGTCTCCAGATCCCAAAAAAAAAATAAAAAAATCAAGTAAAATGAAAGACAAGTAAGATAAATACTTTACTACAGTTCAATTCTTCTACGTTTTGGCATGCTATGTTCGTTGACTCAAAAATATTTATGCTTGAACTTACATGAAAAGCATAGTAAGAAGAAGCACAGATCCTCCTTTTCCCATCAAAGCTATAGCTGTGGCAGGAGGAACAAGTCCGCGACTTGCTTCACTTTCTGTAATTGGTAGATCAAGTGCCAATGCTCCCAGTCCCAATGATGTTGCCAATGAGAATGGGACTGCAAACCAGACAAGTCCACCTAGCAGGTAGCCCTTATGCGTTGATGAAGGCCATGCAGCTATTGCACTTACCCAGTATCCCTGAAGTTTTCAATGTAATTTGTAAAATGTGACAAATTTTGAACTTAAGACATTTAAAAGATGTCTGCTTAGTTGCTTGTAATCTATTGATCAACTTACATTATCAACAAAAACAGTGCCAAAGTTTCCGACTATGTTGATAATCCCAAACACTAGCCCTCCAGAACTCAACATTGTTAAGTACGACCCTTTATAATTCCCACTAGCAGGACCACAAGACTGTCCATGATGAGAAACAGGCTCCTTACAAATCCTTGATTTACTTGCTAACTCTACCAGACGGTTGTACACGATGCTGGGGCTACCGAGCTCACTGCTTGCAATGTATACAAGGTAAACGAATATGACTAGTACCACATGAACTGAAACCAAACCAAGAACACATATTTCAGGATGACATGAATTAGACTAAAGAGAAAACATATCAAATTGCATCAAGGGCATTATAAAAGAAATTTAAATGACTACCTATAACAGAATGTATGTAGCTTGCCAAGAAGGTAGCTTTTAGTCCTCCAGCTAATGTGTAGACAATTACTCCAAGAGGTATCAGGAAGCTAGCAGCATAGATGTTTACTCCTGTAAGTGCATTTACGACAGCTGAACCTCCGAGCAGCAGCATTGCAGTTACAATAATGTTTGTCAAAAAGCAGAAACTGAGGAAGACAATGTGTGCTGCTGTGCCCCAGCTGAAGAGGAATGTTATTCATAACATTAATTAGTGAACTATGAGCTTCAGAATACAAGTCCCCGTAAGGGAGGGATGGAACTTAATGAATCTTATCTTTTGGTTTATCGAACCACACATACCGAGCTTTCACTATTTCGCAAACAGTGTGAGCATGAGGAGCCTTTCTCTTGATCTCTATAGCTATTATACCAAACAAGAGTACCTAATTATTAGGAACATTAAGTTGTTAATCTAACGTGCCTTAGTTTTCTCTTATATGAAGATTATTCATATCTCTAACAATCAACAGAAGGAAACAGCTTGGACATGCCTGAATTGTAGCCCCGCTAGCATACCAGAAAGGTCCACTTACTCCATACTCCCAAGCAACATTTGAACTTTGCAAGATTGTAGCAGCCCAAGTCCACTGCACAAATTTTCAAAACAAAGGAAGAGCAATCAGTCCCCCAAAATCATCTCAAGAAATAGAACTTTTCCATTAAAATCCGTAAATGGTTTACGTGCTAGGGACTGTACCTGGGATACAATCACACTGGCAATGAGTCCTGTTTTAACATTTCTTCCTGCAGTGTTGAACCATTCGGATGTGTGCTTGGAACCAACATATCGCTTCTCCAGCCATACCTGACCCACAGATAAACATCAAGGCATCAACATCTTGCATTGTTTTCAGGAACAGGCAAGTACCATAATTCCTATTCTGGTTACTGCTAACTAAAATTTTTGTGTTTTTAAAGCATACGAAAATACAATGGTGGAGGTTAAAGAACAGATCGTTTAACACGATAAGGGTCCAGCATTATGTGATTACATAAACAGTTTCTTAGTTTACATTTTATTAGAGACATGAATTGAATTGTAAGAAGCTAGAATATGATCAAGATAGTTGTTAGTTGTTAGAATCACAAATGGAACTACCATGTTCAATCAACGCATTAGAGTTTCAATCCATATCAATTAGATACCACAAGTTTCACCAAATCCCTGCAATGTCTAATAGCTCAACTCTGTTTAGTGAACAACATATAGGGGCTCAGAAGTTCGGGGTTTAGACCAAAACTCCGATGTAAACCAATATTATATGTCACAGCGTCGGCACGATATATAACATCTTGAGCCTCTCCACCCATTGACTTAAGTGTCTACTTTGTCCCAAAAGTACATATAAAGAAACCAAGAAATTGGGATATGGTAAATGACATTGGTAAAAGGTAAATTTAGTTTTTTATATTTAATTTAGTGAAAAGGTTTAATAAACAAAAAATAATAATGAATAATGACAACTCTTTTACTCCATACTAAAATGAACAAGTGACGAATACCAGGAAAGATGTGAAGACAGCAAAGAAGGCTCCAAAGCCAAGAATCACAGAATAACCAACGCCCTGATTGAGCACGGGTTTGCCTCCAAAGAAGCTGGTTTGCCTCACACAGCCACCACCATCTCCTGCCACGTGGTAGTACTTGCTTGAAAACTCAAAAGGAGGACACTGTGACCAGGAGCTAGCCATGAACAAGGTCAACAAGAGAGCTTTCAGAACAGCACCTCCGGCTGCTCGTTTATCCTTTATCTGTCATCAAAGACAAAATCTACAAACTAACAAAGAACGGAAATGTAGAGGCTGAGATTGCTTTCTTTCTTTCTTGTTAGGACCAATGCAAGTGTTGAGTGTAAAGTCAAACTAGGAAGCTATCTGTCCAATGACGTTATAGGTGTTTTTTTCCTTTTTTTTCCCTATACGACTGTCCTAAGTCTTTGTTGGATATTATAGAGAAGGGTAGATAAATTTTGTCTTAAAGCAGAGGGAGATTCATGTAATTTTGTCATGTTGACCGGATAGCTAAACAAGTATACAAAGCATGCAAAGCTATAGAAGGAATCTTTCTTTATTTTTGGTGAAATATAGAAAGAATCATCGTTAAAATAAACAAGCTCTTCTAACTCAATAATATTGATTGGTGAAAGAAAATAAACAATAACGCAACTTTTTTTTTTTTTTTTTTTTTTAGTACAAATAATAGTCTAAACGGAAGGGAAAATGGATTTCTCACACACTCACACAACTATGATGTGGTGGGGATTCGAACCGGAGACCTCTCATCTACAAATCAATACCCTTTTTTCACTGGGCTAGACCTCTTTTTCACTGGGATTCTATCTTTATTTTATAGGTTAAATTATGAGTCACGAGTAGAGGTGTCAAACGGGATGGGCAGAGGCCAGCTTACTCCTGGAGAAGGCAGAACTCAGAGCACTCATGCTCTTCAATGATCTGTTTGCGGAGCTCGTCCAACTTCTTCTGCTCGGCCTCGTGCATTTGCTTTGCCTTCCACACGTTCTCTATGTTCCGAAGGCACCCTGTGTGCCATCCCTTCTTGTTTAAAAATTTCAACGCCATTCTTCTTCTTTTTCTTCTGCTTCAATATTCGAATGAATGAACGAAAAAGTTGAATTTAAACGATCAATTTCAATCGCGCAGTCTCTCTTTCTCTGAGTTTTATGCATGGCGAGTGTTACATCTTGGGCAAAAATAAAAAACAGTACAGGTGGATTAATTTTTTTTCTTTCTAAAAAAATATCAAATCGGATGATATTTTATTATAACTTTTTTTAATTTTTAATTTTTTTGCTGAACGAAAAGAAAAAAAACAAACAAACCAAACCAAAAAACGGAGAGGGGAGGATTGGGTGGGGGCGACTGGTGGTGATGACAAAGTAAGGTGTGGGTGACGGCGATGAGATGGTGGCGTGCAAGGAGGAGAAGATGGGGTGCTAGGGTTTGGGGAAGAAGGTGGGGGCGGCTAGAGGTGGTTTTTTTTTTAAATTTAAAATTTTTAATTTTATATATCTATTTATATTTTATATTTGCTTTAAAAAATTATTATTTATTTAGAAAAATAAAAGGAAATAATATTAAAATGAATTAAAAAGACATTATGTAGAGTAAGGGTAGGATAGGAAAGAGAAAGAACAAAAATGATTAAAATTGATTAAAAAATATTAAAAAGCAAAAGGGAGTGTAAGTGGAGAAATGAGGAGTGAGAAAATTAGCTCCCTTTTTTTTGTTGTTGCAAAATATGGGCATCATTAAAAAATCGGTATATAATACATGGAAAAATGCATTCGTATGATTTGAAAGACTATTAAAAATAAAAATGTATTTAGTCTTACAAAAAGGAATGTGCAATAGTCTCGTATTTTGTATTTTTTTCACATTAAAATATATAATTTTCTTTGGATTACTCACCCCAAACTATATATACGTCGTCTTGAGGTGTCTCGCCAAGAGGCATTCAAAAATAGAAATATCTGAAAATAAGGAGATGCTACAGATACAAAAACGAACACTTGGGGCACCCAGCTTATAATCTCTTCCTAGAGGAAGACGACTCACTTAATAATCTGCAAGATAAAAACAAATTAGGCGTGAGCAAACAGCCTAGTTATATACTAACTCAGTTATATCTGTCATGTAAGATCACATGCCAGCCTATTCAAAGTCAGTTTTCAACATCAACACCTAAGAGAGTACACAAAACGTAATTACCTTAGAATTCTTCTACGATTGGAACACACTAAATGGTAAACAAAAATACAACACGTAAAAATATTAAAAATAAAAACTCATTACCAATTTTGTGCTGAAAGGGAGGCTAATTATAAAAAATAAAATAAAATAAAGTGATGCGAACTCACATTGAAATGCATACAGGTCATATCTTTGTTCTCTTTCTGGGTCTAACTTCATCACCTACATCATCATCATCATCTAATTCATTTTCATCAATATGTTTGCCATCATCATCACCATCCTTCGACATACTAATAGGAGCCAGGTGGGCCCCAATGCTTTTGATGTGCACCCCTTTGCCGATAACTTCAACTCGAAAAATAGGCTTCTTTAATTGTTCATAAAAAATTGGAATACATTCCAGCCACACATTACCTTCCCATGTCTCTCTTCCAGACAGATACACGTGATCTCCATCATCATCCAAATAAAATTCAAGAGAACAAGGGCTAACAAATGATTCCGTAATTTCCCAAACAGCAAACAAAACCAATTTTGTGTTCTCCAGTACGGAAGTCCAATGAATTTCAATAGGAAGTATGTAATTACGAACACTCATGCCAAGAACATCAATGTAATCAAATTTACTCTCATCATAGTCATCACGAAAAGTGAACCACTCTGGAACTTCACTGCCACTGTCAGGTAGTGTAACGATAATCCTCCTCCTCTTCATCTGTAACACAAGACAACACAGGCATATATATTATTATTAATTAGTCCAGCTTGCAGCGTACATAGTATAGTATTAACAATATATGTAATGTATGCATATTAATTATATAGATAAAAGATACATACGTCACCTGATTCAGGAAAATTTTTGCCATCTTTGAAATATCCAACCCTAGGTTATCGCATAGCCTATGGCAATTAGACAAGTCCATGCTACTAATGTCTTGCATGTCTTCGTCTTCCAATATCTTTGACAATGTTGAAAATCTTTCCAGTGATATGCAATCATTCATATAGATCCTTGCCACAGACGCTGGAAGTTGTATTAGAATTTCTACAAGCCTCTTGCAAACACTCAAATCAAGCTCCTGCAAGTTGACACATTTGCTAATGCACACAGGAAGACTGACAAAATTGCTTTTGGCTAGATTAATTTTCACTAATTTGGACCAGTAACAGAAATTCTCCAAGGAATCCATATTTGATAAATTGCACTCTGCAAAATACATCTCCCAATGCCTCTTGAAGTTGCCATTGCGTGGACTGTTTGCGTTGGTTCGAACCTCCAAAGGAAGTGATTCTGCACTCGATAAACCTTCAGAGAGCAAGTTATTTGGAAGTGTGACAAGTTTTGGGCATTGACTGAGATTAATAAAATCCAGATTTTGCAACCCATAAATACTTTGTGGCAGATTTGCAAGGTTTTCACATCTTTGTAAATATAATTGTTTAAGCACAGTGAGATTTCCAATTGATAAAGGCAACTCTTCTATAGCAGCTCCATCTAACCGTAAAAATTCCAAGGCAGTGAGATTTCCAACGAATGAAGGCAATTCTTTTATAGCAGTTCCATACAACCACAATGTTTGCAGTCCAATGAGATGTCCAATTGATGCAGGCAACTCTTTTATAGCAGTTCTCCCAAGGTCCAATTTAATTAAGGATTCCATTTTGTCCACAATTTCTGGGAAACTCTCCAACTTTATGCAACCGCAAAGAAGAAATAATTTCAAAGATTTCAACCCAACTTTATTTGGAAACTTCGTGAGTTTACAGCAGTGACAAAATTCCAATTCTTCAAGTTTATCAAGATATCCAACAGATGGATGAACCTCGACTAAACTTCTACAACCACTAGCATTCAAGTACCTTAAGTTTGGGCTGTTGGATAGGTCGGGGATTTCAGTTAGGAATTGAGATCCGGTGAAATTCAGAGATGTCAACTTTTCCATATGCTGTGAAAAAAAAAAATCAAATGGATAGCATTAAAGAAATTTACAACATAAATCAATTAATAAACGAGACCTCTTAAAGTACCTTCAATCCCTCCCCTAGTTGTTTGATGCGGCTGTAAGGCAGACTGAGCACAACTAGTCCATTTGGACGAAAATTGGGTGGAAAAAATTGGAACGGACATCCATGCCAATCAAGAACTCTCAAATTGTTTGGGATAGAACTAGCGTCTCCAGAAAGGCATACATTGTGGTTTATGAGAATTTTAAGATTTTTCATCTTCGAGAAGCTTCTGCCAACATCCAAGAATATCTCATCATCTTGTTTGGGGAAATTTAACATGATGCCTGTGATTTTATTTGTTCCCTAATAGAAAAAAGAAAAATGTACCAAGTGTTACAAAGTATTTATAATTAAAAAAAAATTATACTTAACACACAACATGTGTTACTTATTGAATTAAATAAAACTCTACACTCACATATATAATTTAATTTACTTACTGTATTATTCATCAGAACAGACTTGACATCTTCATGAAACCACAATCTGCTACGTCCTCCGGTTTCATTGGGCGACTCCTGCTCAATTATGTCCTTACCCATCTTTTCTAGTAAGTCATGCATTTGAATATGACTTCCTTCAACACTTATGAGGGCCTTTTCTATGAGTACATCAATGCCATATCTAGCGTTTAGCTCACAAGCGTCTTTCACATACTTTCTATTTTTACCCTTAAAGAAACATGCAATGTCAAGGAAAACCTTCTTTACTCTATCATCCAAGGCATTGTAACTTATTTTGAGAACTTCTTGAATTTTCGTGCCTTGGAAACCATCCAATGCAGCTTGCCATTTATCTATACTTCCACCGCATAGACAAGAACCGAGAACTTGCAAGGCCAAAGGAAGGCCTTGAGCATAGCGTATTGCACGTTCTGCAAGTTTCACATAATCACCCAAAGGAGGCCCACTTCTTTTGAAGGCATGCCAACAGAAGAGCTCAAGAGCTTCAGGATCATCTAAAATCTCGACCTCATGTATTAAATTAACATGATGAGCAGTTAATAGTTGCTTATCCCTTGTTGTTATGATAATTCTACTGCCTACACCAAACCAATCACATGCCCCAACTAACTTGTGTAACTGTTCCATGTCATCCACGTCATCAAGAACCAAGAGAATCTTTCTACCACTCAACC